GGAATCTCAAAAACCTTTAATATGCATATCTCTGGAGGAAAATGATATTGAACACTTTTTAAATGCTTACTAGCTGTTAATTTTTTCTTTATTTTGAGAATTCTCTATCAGATCCAGAGCCCATTTAATTTTTACTTTTATTGATTCTTTGTGGATTTCACATCCTGCATTCCGATCCTTTTATCTCCCCAACTTCTCAATTCTGCCCTCTGCCCTTGCAATGCCCCCCCAACTCAAAACCAAATTTAAAAGAAAAACCAAACAAAACAAAGAAACAAAACAAAAACAAACCAACAAACAAATCTTGTTGTGGAAACTGTAGTGTGTCCCAATGAGTCACACAGTTTACCCTTGAGTCCATTCACCTTTACTTGCAAATGTTCTCGCCATGAGTCACTGGTCTGGCTTTGGGGCCTCTGGTTTCTGCTACACCACCCCACTGATTACAGGCTGTCACTGGGTCTCCTCTTGGATATCCTGTTGTCCTGTATCATAGAGCTCCTGCCCATTTTGGATCTGTAGGTTTATCCCCTTCACATTTTCCAACAGTTCACAGTTTCGGGGCATGGTGGGGTGGGCCAACTCATAGCCCCGGTTCTGGGCCTGGGTTGTAGCAGAGTTGGTCAGCCCTCCACCCCCAGCTCTCTCTCATCTTCACTACCCAGGAGAGCTCTCCAGCATCTGCCTCAACCAGCTCACCCAATGCAGCCTGAAGCAAGGAGCAGGGCCATTTCTGTTATCTGGCTCTCAGATCCGATCCCTTGCATTCATATCACCAGGGCCAGTTCTACTGTTTTGCCCAAGCAAGGTTCATGCCCCTCTCTCCTGGCTTCTGTAGGGGAAATACAAGGAGGCAGGGGGGAGGGTCAGCTCTCTTGTTCTTATGCCCTCAGGACTGGATCACTTGTGTATGCCTGCCCCCCCCCCACTACCACCACACATTCACACAGACAAGGTCAGCTCTAGTTGCTGCCCAGGTGGGGCACAGGGCCTGCTCTCCTGTATGCTGCAGCTGGTAAGGGGCAGGGATAGTTCTCTCAATCTTGTGACCCTGGGGCCAGCTCTCTCACCAGCTGTAGGTGGTAATGGGTTAGGGAGGAAGGGAGGGAGAAAAGGAGGGAGGGTATCTTTCTCTCACCCATGACACCACATGGCAGATGGGGGTGGGGATTCAGGTCTCCTGCTCTGATGCCCTCAGGGTCTGCTCACCTGTGTCCATAGAGGGTCAGCTCTAGGGTGTTGTCCAGGTGAGATGCACATCTGTGGTGAGGGGTGGGGCTATTTTTCCTGAGTGTGGGGAGACTCTCCCCTGAGGGGTAGAGCCAGCTTGCCTGCTCTGAGGGGCAGGGCCAGCCATCCCAGGGTCCATGAAGGGTGGGGCTGGCTCAGCACAGCATGGGTGCAATGCTCCTGGTGCTAACCTGGGCCATGAACATCGCCACAGACCCCAGCTGCAACAGGACCAGGAGCCCAGATATGGCCCGCAGCAGCAGCTCAGGCCCAGATGCCATCACAACCCTAGAGGCAGCATAGGCCACCCTGCCTCGGCCTCATGGCCTCGGCCGCAACATGGCACCTAGGCACCAACATGGTCCCAGATGGCTAACTAGACCCCAGGCATCCACAGAGCCCTTAGTGGCAACAGAAGCTGTAGACATCACCCCAGACCCTGGCCACTGCAGGGCCATGGACCCAGACATGGTCCTAAGCAGAGGCCTGTGCCAAAACATCTCCATGGCTCCAGGTGGCAGCACTAGTCACCCAGATCAGCATGGCCCTGCAGAGCCCATTTTTTATTGGGTTGTTTCATATTTTTTGCATATTTTGAATTCTTCATATAGTCTTTATAACAATCCTCTTTCAGGTGTATAGTTGGCAAAGATTTTCCTTCCACTCTGTAGGCTGCCTCTTAATTCAATTAACTGTTTCTTTTCTGTATAGTATTTTAATTTCATGGGGTCTCATTGTTGGACTTTTATTTTCTGAGTGACTGGACTCATGGCCGGAAAGTCCTTACTGGAATCTATATCTTGGAATGGTTTTTTTTTTTTTCTAATTTTTCCTCTATTGCTTACAGAGTTTGGAGTCTTACAGTCTAAGATATTTGGAATTGATTTTGTGCAAAATGAGTGATGGGAATCTAGTTTCATTTGTCTAACCTATTGAAATCCAGTTTCCTCTGTACCATCTTTTGATCAGGATGCTGTCTTGCAAGTGTGTATTTTTGGCATCTTTATCAAAGATCTGGTGACTGTAGCTGTGTGGCTTATATGTAGATCCTCTAATTCCAGTGGTTCTCAACCTGTGGGTCTTGACTTTTTGGGATCACATTATCATATATCATGAATATCAGATATTTACATTACAATTAATAACAATAGCAAAGTTGCAGTTATGAAGAAACAACAAAAATAATTTTATAGCTAGGTCACCACAACGTGAAGAACTGTATTAACATGTCACAGCATTAGGAAGGTTGAGAACCAGCTCTATTCTATTTCATTTGTATATAATGTTGATTTTATTACTGAAGCTCTCTAGAACAACTTGAAGTTAGACATGATGACACCTCCAGCATTTTTCTTTTTACTAAGGATTACTTTGGCTCATTTGTGCTTCCATAAAAATTTTTGTTTTTATTTCTTTGAGGAACGATATTGGGGGTTTGATGGGGACTGTACTGTATCTGTATATTGCTTTTAGTTGGATGCCTATTTTCACAATATTAATCTAATTCATAAGAGGTTTTTCCATCTGCTAGCATCATCTTCCTCTATTTAGTCCTTCAGTACTTTGAAGTTCCATTGTAGAGATCTTTTGCTGCCTGTTTAGGCATATTTCAGAGTTGGTTGGGTTTTTTGAGGCTGTTGTAAATGAGATTGTTTTCCCGATTTCTTTTTCCATGTTTGTCATTGATATACAGGAAGGCTACCAATTTTTATATGTTAATCTTGTATCCTGCAATTCTGCTGGATGTGTTTATCAGCCACAAGGGTTTTCTGGTAGAGTCGTTGGAGATTTTTTTTTTTATGCATAGTATCATACTGTCTGCAAATAGGGATGTTTTTACTTCTTCTCCTATTTATCTCTCTTATCTTATCACTCTAACGCACAAGCATTCATTTTACTGAGTGGAGAGACTGATGACCTCCTCTTGTTCCTGATCTTGGAGGAAATGCTTAGAGTCTCTTTGCTGAGTGTATTTGGCTGTAGGTTTGTTGTGCATAGCTTTCACTGTGTGTTCCCTCAATTCATAGACTCTTTGTGGCTTTTATCATGAATGGGTGTTGGATTTATGTCAATGGCTTTTTCTTCATCTACTAAGGCTGTCAGATGGTTTCTGTCTTGGAGTCCATTTATATGATGCATCGCATTTGTGGATTTTCATATGTTAAACCATCTCTGCTTCTCTGGAATGAAGCCGATTTGACCATGATAAGTGATACTCTTAATATGTTTAAGAACTTTGCTTGCCACGTATTTTATTAATTTCTGTGTCTGTTTTCATCTGGGATATTGGTCTATCATTTTGTTTTTGTTGCTGCTGTGTCTTTTGCCATTTACTTACAATAAAAGAATCACATGATGTCATGATGTAGAAAGAAAAGAAAGCAGGAAGGTGACTTGGTGGGCAAAATGCATAGCAAAGGACAGAAGAGAGTCGGGAACTGGGCGAAAGGTGGATGTGCACAAGCAGAGAACCACAGAGGGCAGGAGCCTGAGTGGAGGGACTCAAGTCTCCTTCTGGAAAAGTGTTTGCATTGCACTCCAAGAATGCAGCTCACAGGCTGGCCACAGGCCCCCTTTCCTCTCCACATTTAGTGGGTTTCTGGCATGGTCTTAGAGGTCTAGAAAGAGGGAGTTGGATGGCATATGGATGGATGTCTGTATCCTTCTCTGGAAGCCCCAGAGAAAGAAGGGTTTTGAGATGCCTGCCTGGGGAAGCCCCAGTTTGGGAAGTGTCTGATGGAGCCCGCTGTGGATGAAGGGATCAATAAGAGAGCGCATTCTGCAGCTCCCACAGGAGGGCAAATTTGGTGTGGAGGTTGGGGGCTTACTGTGGCTGTCACAAGAAACTTCTGGAACATCCCCTCTTGACCCCTCTCTTCTCAGTGTTCAGTGACCTGTGGGAAGGGCTACAGGCAAAGGCTGGTCTCCTGCAGTGAGATTTATACCGGCAAGGATAATTATGAATACAGCTACCAAACCACGGTGAACTGCCCAGGCACTCAGCCGCCAAGCGTCCATCCCTGCTACCTGAGGGACTGTCCTGTCTCAGCCACCTGGAGAGTTGGTAACTGGGGCAGTGTAAGTAGGGGGCTGGGAGTTGTCCACTCTGAAATCACCAACCTTCTCTGAAGGCCTCCTGCCTGTCTGCAACTTGGCACGGCTGATTGGAGGAGAACAAGCAATCTAAATCCAAACAGCTGACAGTTCACCTTGCTTCTTCCCAGGAAAATGCAAGTTGTCAAGTTTTGTGCCTCAGTTTCTTCATTTATAAAATGGAGCTCTAGGAAGATGATTTGAGTTGATACATAAAAAGCACTAGATGATTGTGATCATTTTTATGTTACATTTTGCTGTTTTCCCTGCATCTTTACTACACTTTTTTTTTTTCCAACTAGCCTTTGGAACCTGGCATCTCGTAAGGGTTGCACAGGAAGCATTTTAGCTGCTTCCATTGTGGAGGCCCCTACACTCTAGCCTGTGCAGGGAGAACTTTGTTTACTCGGGACACAGAATATTCTGAATTAAGTCTGTCTAGAAAAATCACTGTCACGGTCTTCTGGCTTTGGGCTAGGAAACTCTCAGTCAAAAGTGTGTAATGTGGTAAAAGTCATGAGGGTTTGAATGCCCTCTCCATGAGGACCGTGAACAAATTCCTTCACATCTGAGCCCAGATCTTCCATCTGTAAAAACAAGTAACGTGAGTGCTATCTCACAGGGTTATCATGCGGTTTAAATGGGAAGGGGGAAATGTATAGCTACATACCATGACACACGTGTATAAATGCTTTATATAGGATTGTGTGTTTTACAGATATAATATCTATATACATATATAATGCTTAAGTACATATATGTGAAGCTTAACACAACAGCAAGTCGTGGTATAAGAAATCAATAAATGCCAGCGGTGTGTCGCACAGCCCCAGGGCTCCAAGCTTTGTGTCATGATGCTTACACCTCCCAAGTTTAAGAGCCACTCTTAAACTGACTCTTCTTTGCCTTCCAGTGCTCAGTGTCCTGTGGCGTGGGAGTCATGCATAGATCTGTGCAGTGTTTAACCAACGAGGACCAACCCAGCCACTTATGCCCTGCCAATCTAAAGCCGGAAGAACGAAAAACCTGTCACAACGTTTATAATTGTAAGTTGCTCAACCAAAGCCTTCTTTGTTCACCATGGAGAGCAAAGCATCTCTGTTCATCTATTTGTCTGTCTTCTTTAGAAATGTAGTAATTGTGTGGTGTGTTTGGGGCAGGGTGCCTACACTTTCATGCTCAAATTTTTGGAGGCCAGAGATTGATCTCAAGTGCCCTTCCTCAGTCACTCTCCACCTTACTGTTGAGACAAAGTTGCTCACTGAACCTAGAGCTTACTGATTCACCAGACTGGCTGGCCTGTGGACCTCCATTGTCCTTCTGTCTCCCCTTCCTCATCTCTGAGATTACACAATGCACATTCACAGCCAGTTGTTTTGTGTATGTGTTCCATGGCATCAACCTCAAGTCTTCATGTTTGCCTGGAAAGCGCTCTACTGACTGAACTATCTCTCTCTCCTTGTCTCTCTTCTCCCTACCACCAACCCTCTCTCCTTTTAATCTATCCACTGGCCAGTTCGCACAGGCAGCGTGACGTATTCTGTTGGTAGATAGTGAACATCTGAGGTGCTTGCACCCATTTTGATGATTTGTGCTTCCTAGGCGAGTTACCCCAGAACTGCAAGGAGGTAAAAAGACTCAACAGTGTCAGTGCAGATGGTGAATATTTCCTGATTGTTAGAGGGAAACCCCTAAAGGTGAGTGTTGAAATCATTGTTTACAGAATGTTTTCACAGTAATCTCTGCTCCCATCGCTCTCTCTGAGTGCCTCTGTTGAGTTCTTCCTCGTGTTTCTTGCAGATATTCTGCGCAGGAATGCATTCCGACTATCCCAAGGAGTATGTGACTCTGGCCCATGGTGACTCAGAGAATTTCTCTGAAGTTTACGGGCATAGGTAGGAGGCTCAATCCCAGAAGAGCGTAAATGCCTAGAGATCCCTAGAGAAAATTTTCCCATTCTTACCTCAATCCTGTCGCCATTGCTTAGGTTGCACAACCCAACAGAATGTCCCTATAATGGGAGCCGGCGGGATGACTGTCATTGCCGGAAGGATTACACAGCTGCTGGCTTTTCCAGTTTCCAGAAGATCCGAATCGACCTGACCAGCATGCAGATCATAAGTAAGTTCAGCCAAGCATCCTTCATCCTCTCCACTTGGGGACACAGGTCCTGTGAGTGCGTAGATACAGAAGGGAAGTCACATAGGGTGACCACAGTCCAGCAGTGACAACTCTGCCATATGCTTCGTATGTCAAGGCTTTGTCCTTTCTGTTCAGTGCTGAGTTCCGGCACCTGGAGTGTGCCTGGCATAGGTCAGATCTCTGTCTGGTTTATGTTGAGTGAGGGAAAGAAAGAGATAACTATTTGCTCATGCAAGTTTCACCAATGCATGTTGGGGCTCAGGGCAGCATCATAGTTGGCATGGCTTTGGGACTGGGACCTTACGGATGTGAAGGGGTTAGACACCGAGTGTCTATACAGGGAAAACAATAGAGCAGAAAGAAGCTTCTAGAGAAGAAACAGCAGCTAGGAAACAGTAGCAAAGTCATTTGTAAGACACATTCCCCCTCCAGATGGCTCTCCCCAGCACAGAGCACACACACATAGGCAGAAAACTAATTTTATCTGATTGTTGATTTATGGAAGAAAAATGGCTTCGGAATTACCTTTTCTAACAAGCCTGCCCATGGCCTGATTTCACACTCTGGCCAGCACTCTGGTTCTGCTGGGCACATTAATCACTGGAGGGGGGTAAAGACAGCTAAAATATCTAAACACATTCTCTTGAATAGAGGAAGAACAGAAAAAAATGAAGAATTAAATTTTTGCTTATTAACTTTGCACCCATAATATTACCCTGGTTTCCTCTTGAGTTAGATTAAGTGGGATTTGCACTGAGATAGTTTTTATTTGCTGTCAGCTATACAGATTAGGGTTATATGCAGTGGTTCTGTGGTTTCTTTGTTGAGAAAAATGCCCCAGCTTTAGCTCATCAGGGGTAGGACTCATGACCCTGTCCCCAGAGCGACCATTGCCTTTAAATCCTACTCCACTAAGGACTTATAGGCAGTTAAGTTGCTAAGGGAAGGAGACACGTTTTCTTCAGTAGTGTAGCCATGGAAATAACCCTTCACCTATATTCCTGTAAGTGACTAAAATGAAACTTACTGGGTCTCACGCGTGCACGCATGTGCACACACACACACACACACACACACACACACACACACACAAAGCACAAAAGATATGAAAGTTGGGGAAGAAGAGGTTGAGTGGGCATGGGAGAAGATAATGGGGTAATGAAAATGATCAAAAGATACAATGTGTGTGAAAGTGCCATAACTCACTATTATGTGTAATTAACATATGCTAATGAAATCTCCCAAAAGACCCCAGCAAAGAGCTACTGAAGTGCCCAAGGATGCCTCTGCTTAAAAAAATGGGAGTTCCCCACAAAAAAAAAAAACCTGCCGGGTGACCACAGCCACCATCTGCAACCCCTCTGCAGCTGGATGTTTATCCTGTGCATTTGAGGAGTGGCAACAGGGTTAGAAAACAACTGTGGCTCAGCACTGTGTTTAGTGGCTTTACCCTCACTTTTAACTATAAGCTAACCCCGAACTTGAGAAATTGCCATTAATAATTTCAAGATGTGTGTTCTAATTGTTCGACATTCTGGCAAGAGCAGGGCCTAGGCCACAGGAGGACAGAGGAAACTTGGGGATGGCCCCTAAGTGGCTGGAAAGACTTCCCTGGCTTCTTGCCCTGTCCTTAAGCCATGGAAAGCAGGGTAGCAGGAGGTTCCCCGTGCTCAGTCACTGCACTTAAGTGATTTCCTATTTATGCAGGAATCAGTTCTAAGATCATGTTAAACCTCCTTTTGGCTCCCATACTCTGTGGAGACAGACAGTCAGTGCTGATAAAGCCCAGGAAGAGAAGCTCTCAGAACCACAAATGTGATGGGGGAAACAGCAGCACATCTGGAACCATTTGCTCACTAATAATTTGAGTTATTTCTTTCTCTCCCTTTCCTTCCTCCTCTTCTTCCTTCTTTTCTCTTCTTCTCCCATCTCCTTATTAAAATCCTGTCCCTTCCATACTTGTCTCCCCCTGTCTTTCTTTCTCTTCCTTTAACCCTTTCCCCACTCCACAGCCACTGACTTAGAGTTTGCAAGGACAAGTGAAGGACATCCTGTCCCTTTTGCCACTGCTGGGGACTGCTACAGTGCTGCCAAATGCCCGCAGGTATGTCCTCAAGCCTAGCCTCACCCCTCTGCACACCCTGCTTCTGAGGCCCCTCTGTCCATGCGTTCCTATAGTTAGGATAAGAGGAGCTGGTAGGGGGACAGTTAGGCCGCATTGCTTCAAGGGCCTCACAGATGCTTTTGGAGTCTACCCCAGGAATTTGACTCCTAAGAAATGCTAACAGCTACAGGCATAATGTCTGTGTTCAGCCAGATGCATCAGGTGTCATGGTCAAGACTTATGAACAAATCAGATGTTGGATGGCAAAGACTTGGTTCAATAAATTATGAATCAATAAATGGATACTGCAGTCAGTAGAATGTTGGTTAATGCCATCAACAAAATTTATGCTTTGTAGCATTTTCCAGTTTCTGTGGTATAAATATTCTCCCTGTGATTGATTTAAACTCTCACCAACAGTATGTCACTAAATGGGAAGAGATGGGAGAATGACTCCCCCCCCCCAAAAAAAAAAAAAACCAACAACAAAAAAACCTATATGGAGCCAAGCCTGGTGGTATAGGCCTGAAATGTCAGATACTTTGGAAGAATGAGGCCGGAGGATTGGCAGTCCAAAGCCTATCTGGGCTATAAAATGGGTTACAAACCAGCTTGACAACCTAGCAAGTTAGACTTTACCTCAAAAAAGGTTACCTAGCTTGCATACCAAGACCCTAGATCCAACCCCCAACACCCACCCAAACACACAAAGAGAAAAATATTACAAGTGAGCCTCAGCATGCCAGTTTGTCATTATAAATTCTGATATTACAAAATATAGAAAAAACATATATGGGGTTATGGAAGAGAAATCAATGTCAAAAGTATAGCATGCCACACGATCCCACTATGTTTTGGGTTGCTTTTCAGTGTGTGTGTGTGTGTGTGTGTGTGTGTGTTGTGTGCTTGGAATTGAATTCAAGGCCTCTTGCATGGTAAACACTTGCCATACAGCTGAGCTACACCACCAGCCTCTGTTTTTCTTAAATTAATTTTTTGAGAATTTCTTAAGTACTGTATTTACATCCTTCCCTCTCACCTGCACTTTTAAAATGTGTATTGATAGAGAAAAGATCTAGGAGATTTTTAAATGTCAGTGGGGTGTTTTATGGTTTTTAACTAAATATATATTAGATCTGGAAGTCTCAAGATTGGTAAGGCATACCTGGGCATCCTCTGACTACTTAAATGTTGGACCTCTAGAACCGTATCAGCAAATGAGCTGCCAATTCTTTTCCGCTTACTCTGAGCCAGATCATATCTGTGTTGCTGGAAAGTCACCATGCCCAATCCCAAGGAACCCATCATCCATGGGGAGACTAGAACATCAACAGCCACGATACGATATTCTAAAAGTCCCCTTCGCCTGGGACTTGGGGCTCTGGGGATGTCTTGATCCCATCTGTTAGCTCCACGACAGATGTATGAAATTTGCAGTGTTCGCTCCAGAAATGCAAGCTAAGCGTCTTCACCTCTTCCTGCCCATTCTACAGTCATAGGCGTGCTCGCCTCGTCCAAGCCTTTGGGGAAATGCTTAATTTTCAAGTGTTACTCAGCCTGAACTAATTTTGCAAAATGGCCAGTAGCTTTTGCAAGAAGCTTCAGCACTTGGAGTGTAGACAGGAAAACATAGCTCACTGTTTCCTTTGGTTGCCGTGCGGTTTTTGCAAAGCTGCCGTTAGAGGGCGCTGGATTTCCCCACTTGTGGACATTCAGAGGTTTGAGCCTTGGAGTTGGCGGATACATCCCGAATCCCTGGCCTTATCTCTGAAGAATAGTATTTGTCCCCAACCACAGTGTCCTCCAAGTGCTTTGTGAGCCTCAAGGTTTAGGAGAGCATCAGAAAACATTTTAGAGGATTGGCAGGGGCGCCCTGTGGAGAAAGAAGAGCAGCAAAGGGCATAATGGCTAAAGGGGGTTTTTCTCCATCACCAAGGAATTCTAAAGGTTTTCAGCACAGTCTCTTTTGGGCGCAGATGGCTCCAAGCATCCTGTCATTGTGGCTTCCATTTCAGTGGCTAAGGCTGACCCCGCCCTGCCCTTTTCAACTGTCTCAGAATTTTCTCGTTTCTGTGTGCATATCCTTTGGGAAGTTAATTCTTCAGTAAATGAAGAGTAATTTGTTTTCATTTATTTTAATAACTCAGCGACGTGAGCTCATTTACTAAACTCTGATAAGAAATGATTGTTAAGTGGGAAAACTCTATGCCAGGAAGAGGGTTTCTATTTTTCCCTCAGCCAGTTCTTCAGACTCTATTGGGTTCCTTCAGGATTCCTTAAAAAAAATTATTGAGCACTGACTGTGCTTATGAAAAATGTGAATTTTTTTTTTTTGTTGATTCAGTTTTCCAAGGAAGGTTTCTAGGCAGCCTGACTAGGTGTCGTCTGCAACCTCGGGTTTGCATTGAAATTAAAGCAGAAGGATTCTGGATGATGCTCCGGCTGAACCTCCCTTTCTTCCTCTCCACCCTTTGTCTTTCCTTTAAAAACTTAATTTTCAGCACAAGAAAATTCCATGAACCATCTCCTTAATAGTGGACTAGAATATGGCTTTTATCCTGACCATGGTAAACTCAGTATTATTTCCGCTGACACTGAACCAGTCACTCACCTTTCCTGAGAATTTTCTGTATTTCGGGCATTATGCTTTACATTCTTAAGGCACTAAGACACGTTAGTCTTGGGATGAAATTCTGACTTTTCCAAAGCACACAGATTTCTCAGGACAGGCTGGATTTTATTCCAAGCTATCGGAATCTGTCTCCACTATGGTAGCTGTGTCTTTCTCACCCTGCTGCCAGACAGAGTCCTGCCACTGCACCCCTGTTGGACAGGAATAGGATCCCTGAGACCCTCTCCTGCAGACCTCTGTAGAGCATCTAGCAAGTGTATAACTCTTCTTTCCTGTCCCTCCCAAGTCAAGA